TTTTTATTAAACATGAGGAATCTAATCCGTGCTTCAAAAATGTATTTGCATGGTTTGAGGGAACTTCTGGGACTAAAAGATGGTGAAGAAGAGGCTTAAAAGTAAAGAATTATACAGTAGTGAGACTTTGAAAAGAAACCAAATTTAATCCTATAAATCTTGTAGGAGTTACAAGACCAGACTTCAGCTGATAAAGTTTTTGTTGCCCCATTAAAGTAATTCCTGTATATTTATGCAGGAGATCTGATGGTTTATATTTTCAAATGTTATTCCTGTATAAAAAATAATCTCTGAATGGAAGTCTGTGATCAGGGATTTTCCTAAATACAGGTTATATGGCACTGCTGTCTTCCCCTTCCTGCAGAGCTGCCCAGGGCTGAGGACAGGGGCTGGGCAGAGCCAGTGCTGAAGAGCAGGTGAGGAGATAGAGCTTAGTGCTATTTTAGGTCAGGGAAAAATCAGATTAATCTGAAGTAATGATGCACCATCCTCAAGCCATGAATTTTCTGCAGGAAAGCATCCTTCCCTTTTTTCCTCCCACCTTGTCAGGCTGGCACAGGGAGTCTGTGGCTGGACACGTGGGATGGAGTGAGAGCCCTGGGCTCTCGGGGGGCTCTGCTTGGCAGGGTGTGCCCCCCAGGGAACAACAGTCCCACCTTGGGCTTGGCATGGGGGGCTGTGTGGTGGGCACTTGCCTAGTGCCTCAAGAGGCCTGTGCCCACTTCCAGCTGGTTGGAAAGGCAATATTGCTGTGGCCTGCTTTTGGAAATGGAGCTCTGTGGCTTTTTATTTGTTTTGTGAACCTCATGACTAGTAGAGATGAAGCAACTCAAATGAACTTTTAGGATCAAAAATAAATGAATTCAGGTGCTGACTTGCTGCAGGGACTTGATAACTAAGGATAGGCACTTTTGCCTCCATATCACATTTTTTAAAGAGGATGCCATGTAAAAGTTGATATTTATCAATATATTATTTGCTAAGTGCTCCCATTATCCTTTTAATTTTAAGGTGCTAACTGCTAGCAAATTCTCCCCTTTTAGTAGTGGTAACTACTTTTAAAGTTAGAAAGATTTGTGAGTCATAGCAATACATGGAATTACATATAAATGCTAAAAATAGACATTTTAGTTTGCTTAAAAATTATTAAAGTGAAATTCCTGGATATGTATCATCCTAGTTGTTCCTGTAACTCATGGAACGAGTGATTTATCTGATTAATGTAGTCTTTTTTCTGTTTGTGCAATATCAATATTTAGGTCATGATTTCTTAAGTGTTCACGTTTATTTGCCAAAATATTTTTTGAGTTTTTTTCTCAAAGAATAACAGCGATTAAAAAAAAAATTATGCAGTGCTACTTAATTGTGCCTGTTTGGATAAGCAAAAGAGTAGTGCTTTAAGTTTGTGTTGTTTGTGTGTCTGAATTTACCATGTTATTTCTATATATTCTCATACATTCACTTTTGAAATTTTTCTTCTGTTTGTGCCAACAAGTACCTGAATATTCTAAAAAGAAAATACGAAGTAGATAGGAGAAAATCAAAAGGTGATTTAGACTATGAAATAAAGAATTGGTACTTTTTTTGAAAAATTACAGGGAAAAAAGTAGGGTAATAAACATAATATTGGAGACTAAACATTTACTTAGTTATCTTCTAATTAATATTAAAAGTGAAGAAATTCTGGAAATAATTCAGAAAACATGAATTGAAAAAAGAATCAATTCCTGTAACCCTTAGAAACTAAACAGAGTATTGAATGCATTTTTGCATTGATTATAAATTTTCTGTTGAGTACAGAGGTGATTCTACTGCTCGTACTCCTTTGACTGTTGATTTTTCTTTTTTTTGGTAAAGGATTTTCATAAAGTCTTTTCTAATTGCCTCATTTATCACTTAGGTCTCTGAAAGATGCCTAATAAACTTGAACAACTTTACTATATTGTACCAATAATTTAGCAGTTGCTGAAGTAAAACGAGGTTGGGGGTTTTGTTTGTCTTTATTTGGAAATCTTCAACTAAATTAGAGCTGAAAATAATTTAAAAATACTATTATAACTTATGTTATAGAAATATTTGTTATTTAATATATATGTTATTTCAAATATATATAGAAATATCTGTTATTTCAGATAAAAAGGTGGTGTTTTTTTGCAGAGGACCATCATATAAGTGGATCTTGCATTGATGCTTGAACACAGCTTGAAATGGGATTGGATTTGCTGTGCTGGCTTTTGTAGGTGCATCTATAGATGTCTTTGCTTGTGGGATTCTACCCTGTGGTTTTTAAACAAATCCATTTTAGAAATTTCTGATTCTTGTATAAATCTTGTATAAATATTTCATTAAATGTTTATTCATGATGCAAAAATTTAAGGAAGCTAACTTTTTTCATTATCCACTCATGTAGATTTGCTTATCCATATTCTACCTGTGTCACTTGGAGCCACACGACACAATGATCACTGATGTCCTACTTTTTCTCTGAACATCATCTAAAGGACACTTCACAGAAAAAACACCTTTCATGTCCTCAGGCCACACTTCAAATGGGAAAATCTAAAGCATCAGGTGAGTCTGAATGAATGACTGTTTTACTATCAGATATATATATCACAATATGGAAGCCAAGAACAAATGCAACTGTTTCCTGGGCAATGAGGCATGAGATTAAAGGCTGGTGTCTAAATGTAAGAATCAAATTAGCAAGTGACTTATGTCCATGGTACAAAATCAAAATGCTCCTATTTCAGTTGCATATTCCAGCACTGTATGGGTTCCTCTCCTTGTAAACTACAGAAGAATTTTTGTGAGTAGTTAAATGTGTATATGGAATAATAATATGTGGTTATAAGGAAATGGCATGTGAGAAATAGTGTACAAGTGGTGCTTTCTTCTTCATGTTTTCCACACTGAACGAAGTACACCAGGGCCTTTAGTGGTGCAAGTTATTATGGATACTGACTCCAGTTTCATAGCTTCTGGTAAGTTTGGGAATAAGCCGAATCAGTAGTTACACACTGAGTAGGAGAAGCACGTTCTTGAGAGGATGCTTGCAGTATCAGACTGCTGCATTTTGCAATGGTTCACCACAGTCTAATGGTGCTTTGGAGATTCCTGTGATGTTTTTCATAAATCTAAAGTAAATAGAGGGGAAATTGTACTGTTCCTTTGTGATATGTTCCTTGAGGAGTGAACCAATGAAACTTAGAGATTGCTTTATGAGAGTAATGTTGTCACATTAAATACTTGAGAGATTTTGGTGGGGAAAAGACTTGAAGGTTATAGACTAATTTAGACAGAGGCTTATTTCACAGGTCATTTATTTGGATGATTGGGATTTTACAAAAGGAGTCTCGGGAAATACATTAATTTTTTTGAAGTGACTAAAGTGTATGGTTTTATGATCTCACTTTATTGGGTAATGCACCTTTCTGATTTCCTTTTAACAGCCCCCCAGAATGTATTTATAACTTAGAGGGTCATGCTTAAGCTCAGTGTCTAAACATGCATGTTCATTGCGTGCATTTATAATAAATGGCAATGGAAGAAGAGTATTGAGCTGTTAGTTGTAGGCATTAGATACCAATTCTTTGATGACCAAGAATAAATACAGCTGATGGAAGATAACTGAATCCACACACCTGTTTATCCTCACAGAAACACTGGGCATAGATTCTGAGACAAATATATGTGTAGACAGGGGAAAATTGAGGACATATGCTGGCTTTTCAAACAATGTAGAGAATGTGCATTTAAATATACTTACATGTAGGTCTGTAAAGTTGACCTAATCAACAAATAAAGGAAGTCATCTAGATGTGACCCTGTATGCCTTGTAAACCCTACTGAATAATGGCTTTTATTGCTTTGCACACAGTGCCTTGCTAAATATGATTATGGGGATCTTAAATCCACATTGGCTTAGGGTAATGCAAAAAGAGCTCTGTTTAAAATCAGCAAGTAAATACATCCCATGTTAATAGAACCTACATCATCTAAGCATGGCCTTGCGATTTTTATTATCATGGTTGCCATCATCCTAAATTGTATAATTAAAATGTTCCTAATTACTAGCTTATTAGAAGGGGCTTTGAATGAAGCAGTTGAGAAATTTGGATGAGAAAAGAGAACAATTTCACTCTTTCATTGTTGTTTATTCTTAGTGATGCTTGGTTCATCCTCACAAGCTCTCACCGTTTGTGGTCACTTTGCTTTGTTCTCATCTTGTCATGACATCTGCTCAGTCTGTTACGAATTTCACTACAGTGTCATGTTTCCTGATGCTGTCAAAGTCTCTTTAAAAAAAAAAAAAATCAGAAGGTAACAAACGTGAGAGTTAGTGATCATACTCTTTTATGTGAGTTTTGCTTTGCTAGATTTTCTGGTTTTATACCATGAAAAAAATCTTCATTAGAGAGCATGTACTTACTGTGACCTCTCCTGACACTGTTTGCTGTTCTACAGTATTGCTGCAGAAATTTACAGTGAATGAGAACCTCCTGAAAGTATTCAGCGTCAGTAGTAGTCACCACAGTACCATTGGCTCTGTAATACTGCCAGAGACTTAAGCTCCATTTTTTTTTTTTCTGGTCCTTTCTTGCTGCAGTTGCGTTTTCTGAAATTAAGACCACTGAACTTTCTAGGAAAAATGGAAGATTTCATGCTAGATTTTACCTTACTTCCACTCTTCCTGTTATAATTTAGCAAAATATACTCAAGAGATTGAGGAGGTGATTCAGATAAGGTGTCAGATGGAAATGATAACCAAAAATTTTGGCTCTGAACTTATGGATGAGGTTGTTGAACCTTATAGATAGACTCTGTTCTGTTGGTGGTACTGCTTGTACTGTTCACTGTGGCTTATGAAAAAGCATAATACAGAGAATGAACTGATTGTTTTTGAAACCCTTTTTCCTTCTTTATACCTGGTACTTCATTCTTCCAAACCACTTCTGCTTAAACTTCAGCTTTTAAAACTCCCAGTAGATAATTTTTTCTGCTAATTAATGTACCAAAAGTAAATTGAGGTTGTTTTTGTATATAAACTGTATGAATCCTTGTCTATACAGAACAATTCATAAACTTCTCTGTAATAAGAAGATGGATAAAAATGAAAGATGGGGGAAGGAGCAAAAAGCCATAGGGAAGAGTGAGGACAGACTTTCTTGATTTAACCATCCAAAGTGTAGAAGGTTTTGCAGTATTCTTTGTTCAAGAAATTCAGTTAATTCTTCCAAAATGCCTGGTGTTGTAATATCCATGATGGAGTTAATTTTCTTAATTTCCTAAGATTTCTGCTGTTTCTTGAAATGTAGGGGGAAAAAATCAATGCATTTTAAGATTCATATTTTCTTCATTTATTGAATAAATCATCCTGACAGGAGAGGAAATAGCTATCTCCCTGCTGTGGATATAAAAGATACAATCATCTTTCTGCTGAACCTTTAGATCTCATGCATGTTATTATAATAGACTTTGTTACTGCTGAGACATGAAATAAAGCTTTCACCAAAAGTTTATATTAAATGCACTGATTTTCAAAGCCTAAAGTAAGTGTTAAAGTAATGAAATGTTTTATATTCAGCTTTAACACTGGACAGTCATGATAAAAAGGAAATATTGCTTCATTCAGCCAGGTATTTTGTAATTCATATTACTTATGCTAGTCAGGGAGAATAAGAGGTGAAGAGATAGCGTTGAGATGTCTATGATTTTCCTAGAATTTTGGGTTTTGGTGGTGTTTCTAGAAACTAATGTGATTTTAAAGTTTTGTTACTATTAATATTGCAAACATTATTATTATTAATATTGCAGCTTGTCATTTTTCTGTTAAATATAAATTGTGAAGCTCTGATTCATTTCAGCTTTGTTGTAACTTAGGGCCAGATTCCAAGCTGTGCAGAAAGTGCACATCCTTCTGCTAAACTGGACTGTATCAGCCTTCAGAAGTCCTTAATATCAAGGTAGCTTCTATAAATAGCAACAGTAGTAGTTTGTACAGATGGAAAATGTCTGCTATTCCCTGGAAGTTCACAGTAATTTCTTTCATTTATTGAGATATTTTGCCACTTTTTTTAGAGAAGTGTGCCTCTATGCAGTCTGCTTGGCATCTAAAGGGTGTCATACTGAACAGTTATAAATGAACCTTTGATTTAAGAGGAGACTGAGAAGTCAGTCCTGCTGGACCATCTGCTACATAAAAACAGAGCTGAATTAATGCAGACTTGAGTAGCTGGACTGTCAAAAGCAAAACTTATGAAAAATAAACGATGAACATTTCATTTTATGGGACTCTTACAACTGGAGGTACAGCGAATACTGGGATATGAGAGTGCCTGGAAGGGCTGGTACCTCATCAGGGTTGGAGATTCAATGCAGCCATCATTTGTACTACTTAGATTTTATTAAAATCAGCAGGCATTTTACCACTCATATTCACTACACTATCCCCTGTGGTATAAAAGCTCTCAGAAAAGTATAGAGCATTTGTCAAATCTCACCATAAATTGTACATTTCTGTGAGCTTGTTGCAGCACATAGTTTCTTTAGAATTTCAGTCATCCATAGCACACCAAAGCATGTTATCAAACCTTTGGTCAAATGAGTATGCAGTGATGCATGAAGCATGTATTTTAGATTCTGGATTGTTAGAGATTATGTAGGCTTACATGGACTAATATGAAAGTAAGCTCTTTCACATCTGTCCAGAAACTAATGTTATTTTTAAGTAACACTTGAGTATTCTTGAATGTTTTTTACTGGCAATGCTTTTCCTGCTGTTGCAGATACTTACAATGCAGTCTTTAGATGACTGCAGCCACTGACTATTTAGAAAGTGTGACAAGAGTTGTGTAAATCAGATGTAGTAGGAAAAACATAGGTTACAGTACTAGAAGTATTATGTTTAAGGAAGTAGAAGTTTAGAATTTGACATGCCACTATTCCTGGAAATTTATGTCGACAAAAATTAAAAAGATTAAAAAAAAAAAAAAGTCTGTCAGAAAAGCCAAGGAAAACAAGGAAGAAGAGAGTTCTAAATGCTTAGGTTCTGTGAGAGGCAAGCTGGTTTCTGTTACACAATACATCAAAAAATATTTTAAATTTCTTGATAAATTCTCATTTTCCAAGCAACTCAGAGGATTCTTCAGTCAGCTCTAATTGCAGTCCTGGCTTTGACATGCAGGTAGATTCAGTAAAGGGATGTGTAGTCAGCTACCAAAAAAGAAAGGCTCCGTCTATTGCTGTGCAGTGTGGCATCCCCAATTGCCATCACCAGGCTCATGCAGTGATTTCAGCACTTCACAGTGGTGGTCATGGTCTGTCTCAAGCTGGAATATGGGAGGCACTGCACCAGAGAAAATCTGCAGATCTAAGATCTGTGTTTGAGCCCTTACAGGTTGAGATATTAATCTGATCCTTTCTATTCTAAATGGAAAAGAAATAAATAGTCCTGAAAGTAAAAGTTAGAGCTCTCCATTATTAGATGACAAAGCTCATGGGCTTCAAAACTCCTCTTCATTTTGTTTCATATCCATAAATCTCTCTGGAGAGTGCAAGAGTTTTAACTGGCCAGGTGGGCACTGGGATATCATGAGATATTGGAGACAGGCCTGGATTTAGGGTGTCTGTAATGCGTTTCACTTTGGAAAAGCTAAAATACGCTTCTGGACCGCAGTTAATTCCCAGGCGGCTGTGCTGGATGAGCCAGTGGGGCAGGGCAGGCCGGGCAGTGAGCGTGGCTGAGCTGCTGTACCCCCCTGCACCCCACTGTGCGCCCCGCGGCCGGGCCTGCCTTCGCCGCTTCCTCACTTCGCTGCTTCTGGGCAGAAGCCATCAGGCTGCAGCTCGTGGTGTGAGGCAGCAAAGCTGCCTCGAGTAGGAACAGAGGAGACTGACTTGTGAGAGCCATTAGAGTGGAGCTGCCTGCCAGCCCCATGCTGGGTTTGTGGGCTCTGGGCTGAGCATCTGAAGTAGTGTCATGGCCTGCTGCTGTTAGGTATTGAAGATTTTCTCTTAGTGGCTGAACCAAAACCCTGCTCTTTGGCACACACCCAGACCAGGCTTTCTTGGGGCACACACAGCTTTATTTAGAAAGAATCCACATAGGTGCTGCTCAAGCTGGTGTCACCAGAGGTCTTAAACAGTGAACTGAACCCTTGGTAGCCAGTGTCTGTCAGAAATAATAATCTGAAAAAATGGACGTAGTTGCTGCTTTAATAAATTTTATCTTCCAGTGAAACATTTCCTAGAAGCTAAAACAGGAGTATATTTTCAGAGATATTAATTGTGCTGTAAGGTTTCCTGCTGATTTGGTTTATGGCATCTGCTCTTCTCTGTCTACAAAATGTAGGTGGTCTTACATCATTCAGTGGCTCAGTGATGCTCGTGTCATTAGTAATTTTCAAATGCTCCTTGGGAAAGATGCACAGTAGGATAAATCTTGTATGTGTTACCACACTGTTTGTCAATAGGGAATTCCAGGCTTTTTAAAAAAGGTGTTTCTCTATTAAAATGAAGATGGGTCAGGAGCACTGGTTTTATGATGATGTATGCTGGATGAAAAGCTTTCGAATAGCTAGAGATGTATGTAAGTTATGTGCTGTTACGCAGCTTCTCTTGATTTTTTTCCCCTCATAATTTCTGGATGGATCTCTTTCTTTGGCAGACTTCCAGAACAGCAAGTAACTAGGCTGTTGGACGTATGCTGTTAAAACTGATTGTCCATGGCAGTGTTCAGACAATTTATATATTCCCTAAAACTGATTTTTAAAGGTCTTTTTGTTCACTCTCTATCTTAAAAGCCAGTTTCAACAAGCATTACTGAGATTTTGATTTACTGTTATGAGTGATGTTTTAAACGTGCTGGTGCTTTCACAGCAAGATGAAAAATACACTCTTGTGTTATTTTTTTCCAACCCTGCCTGCGATTTCAGGTGCAAAAGGCAGATTGTGCTTTTGGTCTACAAAGGCTTCTCTGAAATTTCCAATGACATTTAGGTATGGATCAATATTTTGTTGATTATTTTTAGGCTAAGCATTACTAAGTCTGAATGTGTTGCAAATCTCATTCAGAGATTATTAATTCTTATTATCTGTAAAAGTATCTGTCATTCCATAGCTTCATTACAGTAAAATAATCAACAGTTACATACCTGAATGGGATTATAAAATACTAAGAATCTATGAATGCTACAGCTTTGTTAGTAATAGGATTACTAAAATTCTGAGGTTTCTGTCTATCCATTGTTCTATAGAAAATATCAGAGGTGACAAATTTGAGGAATGCTGAATCAGTGCTGAAATATTTGCACTAGGAAAATGCCAAACTAGTTTACAAATGTTTTGTATTCATTAAGAATAAAGATATATGGGTATATATTCAGATTGGGATATAGAAAGATACTACTACAAACCTGTCACCACACTCTTACATCATTTAATCCAGGCCTTTGAATTATGGTCCATCCTGTGATATGGAGTTAGACAGTCTTGACCAGCTTCCCCGTAACTTTACTATGCCTTTGTCGTGTTTGCTTAGTCAGCTAATAGTCTTTTTCAAATACCTTCTGCTATCTTTGACAGAGAAGCAAATGCCTTTGTGGTTCAGTGGTACAGATTTTTGAATAATGAAATTTCTAATCTGTGTGCATTTAGACAAACTTGATGATTGATAAAAGTAGGAAATACACAAAAATTATAGCACGTTGAGAAACTGAAACATCCAGTCCCTTGTGTTGGTGCCTTTTTGCTTAATTGTTTTATTCTTCTAAATGCTATGTTGCTCCTGAAGTACACACTGAAAGTGAAGTTCTCTGTGGTTTACATTTTTATAGAATAGATATATAATGGCTGATTCTTAGCACCTCGACTGACATAATCCTCTCAGGCAGTGGGGAAAGTTTGATCTTTGGAACCACTGATTTGCATGACCTACTTGTGCACTAACATGTAGCTAGGGGTACAATAGATGTGCTATGGAATGACATTATAATGACAATATAAGGCTCCAGGTGCCCTCTTTAGACAAGCAGAACTTTCAAATGAGTACCTTGGTGCTACATATGGAATGAAAAGAAAGACCTTTTCTCTAATAATGTGTACAAAACCTGGTATTTTTAACTGCATACATGTGCAGTAAAATGAAGCTTAGTGTTATAGCTCTGAAGTAAAGGAAAAGATGATTATATCATTGCAGGTATTAGCTAGTGTGCATTTAAATGACTTGCAGATTACATTCCTCTGAATGTATTCTACAACAAGTCTAGTTGTCTAGTTTATGTTCCTTTAGATTTAAAAAGAAATTCCCTTCATCTCTTTTCCTGTCTGTTTGCAAAAATAGAAATATACCTAAATGTGAAAAAATTAAACCTTTCCAGTAAACATGACCATGCATCTGCCAGAAGCTACCCTGAGGTAGAACGTACATACATTATGGTTAACCACAACATTATCAAGTGTTTTAATCAATACTTTTGTTCTGAGTCACTGTTCCATTAGTGAGTTGTGTGATATTAACTCAACTTTTTTGGGTCAAGGAGCATGTGCAGAACTTAGTTTCCAACTTCTTTCTGAACAATTAATAATCCATTTTTTCAAACCAGGAATTTTGGCTCTAGAGACATGAAGTAGCATTGCAAGTTTGAAATTAGAAAATGCAAACCAAAATTTTTATATCCAGGTAATCAGGCAAGTCAAGACAGATGGAAGCTGTTAAATGCTCCCCACTCCTAATCTCGCTGCTCACAGAAGTGTCTCAGTACTACCTTCAGCATGTTCAGTCACCGTAATGGGAACTGCTTTCCTTCGCTGCTTATTTCCTGATGAAGTTTTAATTCTATAGTTATAGTCAGTTGCTTTAAAACTAATATGTCAGATTCTGTTTTCTTATTCAGAAATATTAGACCTGGGATATGTGCTTAAGCTATTTCCATATAATGGCAAGCAGGGCTCATGGGCTCTGAAGAACTTGGTAGCTTCAGTGCTTCGAATAGTGATTGAAACAATGTAACTCTCACAGCAAACTGGGAATAAGCAATGTTGGGCATCGCATATTACTTAATTATTAATTAAAGGGAGCTTGAAACTGAGGGTATTATTGGTGAATTATAATGCCCATGCTTGGATACTGTACAATGTTTGCTGCCCGGGTGGGAGTTTGAAGCAGGGTTCTGCATGGGCAGTTCTATGAGTTTGTCATTGCTCTGCCCTTTGGTTATTTCATCCAGTGATGCTGTAGATATGCTGTGCATTCAGAATGACACCTTATGCACCAAGAATAAAAATGGAATTGTCAAACTTTGAAAAGTGTCTATTAAAAAAAAATTAATTTCCTGGAACATTTGTTGATACTCTAGGGAAGGATATATCTTTTGATAGTATTTCATCAAGATCTTTCTGTAAGTGTGTAGGTGTTCCCCTGATTTTTAAAAGTGTTAAGTTTTCTTTTATAGTTCCTTTGAAAGTTTTAAAGCTCTTTTAGAAGTTTTCTGTACCTTCTGATGTTTACATATTTCTACTCGAGTTCTCACACACTGTTCACATAATAATTGGTTTGCGTTCTTCTTTGTTGGAAGAGAGAATTAATAGACTGTTGGTTTGACCAGTGTGGTTGGAGAGGTAGCAATTTCATCCTCCAATCCAGTGTTACTTTTAGAATTCTATATATTGCGAGGTCAAAAATAAAATTAGCTTTTTTCATCTTTTAAGCTTGCCAGGCTTCTGTGTACTCATTTCATGTCCAATAGCAACAGGTAAGCATTCATCTAAATGTAATTTATTCTTGAGTTTCAGTATCATTGTCTTGCACTGTCCAGAATACTTAGGCTTAGACTTCATCTTTGAGCTTACGTAGTAGGAGACATTAAGAGCATTGATTAAGGTTTGTTTCATACCTGTCATGAATATTCATAAGTTATGGTCTTGTGCCTTTGCAATGCACAGGAAGTTATGGAATGAACTAAAGATCCAAGTTCTGTTAGACCATTTTTGTGCTAGCTTTACCGGAATAAAAATAGCCATCTGCAAACAATTAAAAACATTCAGTTGCATTTTTATCCATAAAACTGAAAAGGTTGAAGGATGCACAGTTATTACTGCATCTAGAATGTGTCTTTGAGTTTCAGTGTTGAATTGCTTCAAATTATCTTTTGTCTTTTTCTGGAATTTTTCTTTAAATAGGATTCCTATTATGTGGGCAAGGAAATATTTGATTTTCCTCGTGTTTGGATTTTGAAATATTTACTGGTGGTGGTAAAAATGCTCATTATTTGCTGAAAATTAACAGCAGCAGTAGTCCTGTGCAATTAATTTCACCGTGGTATTTGATTCAAGATGAAGTAAAAAGTGAATTAGTCACATGTCCAATTTTTGCTTCCATTACTTTGCTTCAAATGCTTTATCATATATTGCCAATGCATATTCTCATAAGTGAAAACAGTTAGTAGTTCAACATATCTTAACCTGAAGATATTCATCTGGGTGTGATGGATACGCAATACACCTGGAAGGAATGTCAGCCAGTTTATGTCTGAGCTGATGCATTGTTGATGTCTTTTTAACATAATCTTTCTTTAGTGCCATTTTACTTGGGCCAACATCAATTTTGTATGGATACTGCTTTACAGCATGTTTGTAATGAACTCATGCTTTTCATTTGTTTCCTAATAAGGTCATCTAGATTAGTAACTGTGAAAGCTGCCTTTTCCTGGCACATTTTATGGTCCTTTTGTCAAGATTAAAGAGATAAGAAAGGCAAATCCTCAGGGAACTACTAAACATGCAGAGTTTTTAAGATTACTAGTGAGAGATGAAGTGGGTAAGTTTGATCCTCATGATGAAGTATCTGTTCTGTAAACAAAGCAAATCTCTCATTCACAATATTTGTTTGGACATTTTCCCCAAAATATGTTTTCATATATGAAAACCTCAAAAATTTGAATGTATTTTGTATCTTGGCAACCAGAAGATGTGCAGGCACTGTCAGAGAAATGCTGATCCTGCATTTCAGTATCCTGTCTTTAATGCAGAGGACGCAGTTATGCTGTGGTGTATCTTTTACAGAGATATCAGGGCGCTTTTTAAAACATGGGAAGAAGAAATAAAAGATTCAGCAGGACAGGAACTTTTTTACATTAGTAGCCAAAACAATAAAATCTGTCCTAGAATTGCCACTTTTGAGCAGCAGTAATTGTAACAAAGACATAAAAGTACTGTTGATCAGCTTATGCTTGAATAGATGGGGATATAGAATAGTCCCTTTTAAGGTGAAGGATGGGGAAAGGTGGTAATGCTTATTGACTGCTACTGACTGGCAGAATGCTGTATGTAAATGAATCGAGAGGAGTAGTCACTGGTTGATGAGTTATAGGTTTTTTTTTTTTGGTTGTTGTTTTTTAAAATTTCATCTTATCTGTTTCCTAAACTTATTCTAAATGCGGAACCTTTTGAAATCCACTTGTGGTGTACTTGTTGTGGTGTGTGTTTTTGATTGTAATTTGGTCCCAGTAGTCAGTTTTATAACATCCCCCGTTTTGTATTGTTATAGCGTATTTGATTACGAATGGGTTGTTCCTTTCCCCGCCTGTGTTGTTGGTTTTGCCCTAGTTGTCCATCTCTCCGAAGACCTGCCCTTTTGTTCCCTGTTCCTCCTCCCATGGAATGTCAATCTCTTCCTATGCCTGTCCCTTTTCCTGGAAACTTCCTATCAGTTTTGTATCCTTCAAAGCCCCATTGGTTTAAGTTGTTCTCCTCAGCTATACTCCCCTCTTGGTTTAAACGTCGTATTCCCTGCCTTGTGTCCTACCCCCAGTTTCTCCCAGTTGGTTAAAGAGTGTATCTTCCCCTGGGACCTCCCCCATATATAAGTTGATGTATGGCTTTGTTCAGGGTCTGGGGAGTAAACACCTTTGGGAAACATAGAGAAGACCTTTCCCTGTTCTTTGTCCCTGCCCTCGGTGCAGTCCTCTCCCCAGTGCAGTTGACCCGTGCCGTAGAGCAGCTGTGCCCTGCAGCCGCACCCCGGGTTCGACAGCGCTCTGGGCGCAGCTGCTCTCGCCCACGGGGTCAGGAGCCAGTCGGGCCAAAGCAACCCGGCACTGCAGCATTGCTTATCCTGTTATTCATTAAAAGGATTATTGAGTGTACCTCTTGTTTTAAGCTTTGAAAATATACCTTCTAGATCCTAAGCCTCCTTTTTTTTGAAAATTGATTATGAAAGTCATCCACATATCTGCAATGAAATTGTAATGTATGAACAGGGATGGCCTTATGCTGTTAACACTGCTCCGGCCACAGGTTCAGAACACAGATTGCTATGAAGAAAACTGGCTGTGTCGTAGCCAAAACCTGAACAGTGTCTGAAACAAAGGGACAAAACCAACAGAGAATTGATCCAAAATAGATTGCAGTATTAGCCTGACCAGAGAGATCAAAAGTTCCCATGTGAGCTACCAAGCAGTTGAAAGTTACCTATGAGTGCTTTGGTACAGCAAGGAAAGGAGCAAGCTGGCCATTAGCATGGTATATTTCAGTATACCACCAGTGGTTATCATAGATGAATACTCAGTGGACCTATCTGGAGTTCTGTCTTGCACATTTCTTCAGTTCTCCTTAATATATAACAGTATTCAGTGCTTGTTTTGTATGTATGGATGTCAGTATCCTCTGAACTTGTATCAATAAACCAAGGAAATGTAGTTTCTTTCTAGGAGATATGACACTTGAGTAAAGTGAAATGTTACCTCTTTGCTCTGCAGTGGAGGGGGCATCACCATTATATTGAGCTGAAGATCAGTGCAGGTTGTTTGCCTAGCAAGCTGAAGAGCAATTTCATGGCAGACCTGTGGTCCTCTGCAGAGGGCTAACCCCACCATATGCATACATTACTGAAATTTCAGTGTATCTCCTAAACTGTATTAGATTTATTCTTTAATGCCTTGATTACAATAGATTATTCAGTAGCAGAGGGACTAGGCACAGCTGAGTGACTTTTGCCATGCTTGTGGCATCTGGACTGCTGTTAATACCTTCGAGAAGGTACGAAATGACCTACTGATAATGTTGAACTTGATGGTGCAGAAGTTGGAAAGGGAGAAAAGCAAAAGACATATTCCTCTGATAACTGATAAATCCTATTTAATCCTACAGATTTAATTTCCTGTCTTTCAAAACACTATATAAACACATTGTCAACATTTTCTATTTTTTCTTTGAATTAATGCAAGTAGCTGGTTTGTTGCATCTCTTGCCTTGAGGATTCTCCTCTTCAAGTCATCATTCACACAACTTGCTTGATGTGATTACTTTTCTGTTCTCACCTCCAAAATGCCATTTAGTTTGAACTTGAACAGGGAATTTTGCTTTTGGTAATGTAAGCTAAGGTTGTTTCAGTTTGTTTCCTTCTTGCCACTCCCCCTCTCCAAGATTTTGTATGTTTTTGAAATCAGCCTTCTGGAAGGACATAAAACACCACAGACAGTCACTGTGTAATGAAGTTATTTGTCAGTGAACTATAATTCTGAAGTGACGTTTTTGGTTAATTAAATACTAAAAAAATACCAAAAACTGCAGCAAGCCCTGCTATTTAGAGATCAAGTTCCATCTCTTTGAGTCTCAGTTTTTGGTATTATGCAGATTTTCTGCATTAACAATAAAGTTTAAAAACCAAGAATGAATGAAAAGCAGGAAAGCTGAAATCTGGTATTTTAGCAGCTGTCTACAAATCAAAAGTCATAGAATAAATTTTCAGGTTGTGGTCTCATAGTGTTGAGTAGTTTGAAATTAAATAATTGCTGCTGTAACTATTTAAATGCATTTTCTGTGATCTAGTTTTAAAGCTTTAGCTTTAAATGATCATCTGCATTCCTTCTTTACCACGCCCAGTGCATCCACTTAGACTTAGTTACATAATTCATTTTGCCCTTGCTTTAAGGTAGACCAAAGTGATAGTGCTGTTGCACTGAATCAGGAAGTTAGGACTCGGTGATTTATTTAACCTAAATGCTAAATGCTATTTAGGTTAAAGTCCAGCTGGTGTGAAATCGGTCTCTGAAGACAGACACTAGGACTAATCTAGGCTGCAAGTGCCTCTTGCTGCCATTTAGAGTTCCCTGTATTTGTGCAAATATTCTACTATATTCTATGTAGTGTTACTTCAGGGTAGCACAGTATGGCAAACAGAACATGTGTACTGGGTTGTGTATTCCAGCCTAGGCTATGCTTTTTTTGCACATTGTTACATATTCAGTTGCTTCAGTATATTTTTGTCACAGAAAATGTATATGCCAAAACTGAAGTGATTTAGAATAGTCTCTTTTAAGGTGAAGGGTAGGGGGAAGGGATAATGCTTACTGCTGCTACTAGCTGTCAAAATGTTGTATATAAATTAATTTTGCCTTTTTCTGTGAACAGATGGTATTTTAGGACAGTCCTAAAGGTATTTCTTCCCATTATGATTTCTGTAAAGCAGCACAGCAAATTGTCACTTTGTACACTGTTCCAGTGGGATGCGGTTTTTGGCTGCTGGGTTGCTCTGCAGCGCTAAAAGTGTGAATTATAGCTCGGTGCTGTATCCTGGTGAATCAGTGTTTACAAGTGTCTGCAATCATACAGATCAGATTTCTGAGTGACCCTGCCTGTGAAAAATAATCGTTTCAGGCATCTTAATCTCCCTTCCCTTTAGAACAGGTGTCTAAAAATAAAAGCTGTGGTTGCGCTTAATTTTGTGAAATACAGCATGCAACTTTTAACTTGGCTGACTTCCTTGGATACATCTAACCACCTCTTCCTCCCAGCTTGCAAAGAAAATATTTTTCCTGACTTGGATGTGTTGCAGTCCTTCTAAGGGTTCTTTCCAGCTCTGAGTGGCTGAAGGGTCTTCTATTTTGTCCTTTGCCAGCTTCCTTTTGCTGATATATAAAGAGTTGCTATTTGCTCTGAGAAACGGCTTGATATGCACTTCTGCAGTGACTCTGTGGAACATTACTGTCTAAATACAGCAGCTGAGCTACGCTTTGAAACTGAGAAGCCTTAACACCCACCTTGGCAGGATTGATTCAGCATATTTGAAATTTCAACCTCACTGCTGACCCCTATATTGTGTCAGTTTTGGGGTTTGAAATTTAGCCTTGGATCAAACTTGTTTCTGAAATTATATTTATACCAGAAGAAGAAAGCAGGAGAGTAAAATTATATTAAAAGAAAACTTATATAAAATTCCTGAGAAGAAATGGATGAGGTTGCCAAGTACTCCCCAAGCCTCTGGTTTTTCAATTATGAATAAGAAAGCAATATGAGCAGCAGCCGACTTGCTGATCTCTGTCTTCTCTTAAAAGTCAGAGCTCAGGCATTAATTTAGAGGGCTGAATGCTTTTTTACACTAGAGCCTTTACAATTCTACCATTTACAGTTAATATTGATACTCTGCAGGGCAGGCAATTTTACTAGAGAAAGAATACATCATGCTTTTAATGGAATTAATAGAAGCTTAACTGTTGCTTGTAAAAGGAGGAAGATTAGACCAAAAAAAGATCTATGTGTTAAATATGAATCTGTATGATGCAGATTTACTCACACCTTTTTGAGTATATTTAAAAAAGCTTGCCTCTTTCTAGGGCATTGTCTTGGTTTCAGTCTCTCCATAATTAGTTTCTATTTATGGAACAGATCAAGCTAAGTAGCATGTAGATGTCTAAAAGATAAACGTTTTTGCATGTGTTTTCTTGCTTTATCTTTATGCAAATGCTTAATTATTAATGCTTTTTAAAGACCACGGGAGGTATACAGACAATTTTTTTTTCTATATGGTTAATACCAGTAGTTTAGTTCTTTGCTTTCATTTGTAAGTATTTCTAACTCTGCCATAGAAAGGAAGAATTGACTTTTAAATATTTAAATATGCATAAAGACTGAAAGAATTACAATCCTTGTTTTTTAGTCACCTACATACTGATAATGGATCTGTAATATGAAAGTTCTATTTTGCAAAGCACTATTACCATCATTTATTTCTAGTTTTCATCTTGGAAAAACATTTTATTTCCAACCTAAATTCTCACCATATATTTTCAAGTTTCCTTATATTATAAACACTTCTGTATCTCAAGAGGTTATGTAGTTTATTGCTTTTGACTCAAAAAATTATTTCAGGCAGCTGTGCTGCTGAATTTTTAGTAAAAAAATGTATGGAATTAAAAAACGAAATTAGAAATAGTTACTATCACCTAGATCACAAAGTTTTATGTTTAAATGCTTCTTCCTGTGCACTGTATACTAGTATTGAATATTCTATTCCGTATAAATTCAGTATCAGTTGAAAGACCGCTGTAGTGCAAATAAAATGTAACTATTCCCTTTTAATGTGATGCCAATAGCGAAGTGGTAAATGCATAAACCAAAGTATTTAAGGCATGTAGGTATTCAAGGTACCACATTAGTGTAGAAATGGAGGACACCATGAACACTGAGATACTTATGTAAAAGTGTGAGCCCTTTTATAGAGTAACAGCAGCCTCCCTTCTTGACCTTCAACTGACCTCGTGTACCACACTGCCTTAAAGATGAGATAATAATGGAAATAGCCTTTGCTTATAGTTTCCTGTAGAACAAATGGGTTTTGGTAGTAGCTTTTGTATTTGTGCTATGCAAAATTTGCAGTAAATTAATTTCAACCTTTATATTTTATCTTCCATTTTGGATTGTAAGGAAGGAGTGCTTTCTTAGGTTTTCTTTTCCTGTCAAACACTTACATTTAGTGTAAAGAGGGAAATCCAAATCTTTAATCATTAACAGGCCAAATGAACTGTTGAAGAATAAAAAAAATCAGTCAAAACTGTTTAATAAAAGCTATATAATCAAATGAAATTATATATTAGTGTGTATTTTTACTGTTGTATTATCTATAAAATCAAAGCAGTCTATAAATCATAGAATTATGTAGGTACTTACCATTTTAAAAGCAGCATCAAGTGGAATTGGTGAAAATCCCCAGGATGTAATCAATAGTTGTTTAAAATAATGAGCCTTTATGGTATTATTTCCAAGTGTGCCATCTGAAATCAGAGGAAATTTACTGACAGTTGTATATTTTGTTGAAAAAAACATTCAGACATATATTAGCCACAAAATCCATGTCTGTTGTCTTCTACAGAGTACAAGGAGAGTGATTTATTTTGAAAATGTCTTTTAGCTGGGTAACTAGGTAACTTACACTGTGCTACATGAAAGAGTTTGGACTGCATTTTGTGAAGCTGAATTCCAGTGCAATGAGTGAAGGAAACAGATGGAGTAAGAGGAGGACAGATGGGTATCAAAAAACTACAGCTGCCGTTTCCAGTACCTGTGCATTTACTGTCATAAATCAATTTATTTTCATTTACTGAAACAGGAAAATCATAAAATATTAAGCCAAAGCACTACAGGTCCCAGAATCACTGTATGTTGAAAGCATCTATTTGTAGTAGTTAATTTGGGTCCTAAATGAACTAAATGTGAGAATAAGTTTCTGTGGGTAAGAATGTTGTCACCAGTCCAGTCATTTCATTCTGCCAGGGAGATTTAAACATCTCTCATCCCATGGGGGAAGGATTAGTTGGTTAGTAGTTACTATGTAGGACATCTCTAATGTTTTCCTTGTGGACAAGAGGTGGGCTACTGAAGTGCTGCAGTGAGTGCTAAAGGACTGCTCTGCCGCAAGGCTTCGAGCAGCCTGTGAGGCAGCTGAATCACAGAGCCCAGCAGCAAGGCTGGGAGTGCGGGAGGCCACCTTCTCTCTCCTGCAGCAGCTTTGAATTGCAAGATGTGAAATGGTGCTTGACAAAATCAAAACACTGTTACTGTATGTATTGATACACTAGCAGCCCTTATTTGCTGCGTGGCACAGCTGCTCTGGCACATACTTGACTTTGACCAAGACCTAATTTGATTATCCCTGTGGTTAAACAGGAAGTTCAGATGAGAGTCAAGTAATTTCTGTCTACCCTCACCCCACTAGTTACTGCTAGCTTGTCGCTGATCCTGTTGAATTTTTATATGAGCACCTGTCCATTAGAGATTGGATGGTGGCTGTATAGACAATTTACATTTATTTTAGAATGCATTGCAATTAGCGGACTCGGAAAATTGTAAAATGCAAATAGAAATCACCTTGTATTAAAAATACCTGAGAAATGAAGAAATTCAGGTCAAAATGTGTAATTGCTCTCTATCTTACTGAATTTATATCAGGGAGTTTTATGCCTTGAGGCACTGCATGAAGTTGCCACTGTATTTTGCCACAGAAGTATGAAAAGGTCTGTAACTTGAGTGTCCTGGAATTGGTTTTCTGTGACATTTTTATCAGAGTTCCTTTTAAATTTTTCTATGAATAGTTTGAATTAAAAATTCACATTTCAAAAAAAAAATTACTGCTTAATTTTCTAATTGAAAAAATATTAGGGGTTCAAATCACTGCTTTTTGTAACACAACATAACTGAAATACTGTATTTTCTGATCATGTGTAAAAAGATTGGTTGGGCTCTGGCCATTAATCTGTTTAATGCAATTTAGAGCCTAATGTGGTAAACACTGAGGTTTTTACCTTTGTTAGCTGTTTGTAGATTACCTTCCCAATATTGTCTCATTCAAGGTGAGCATTGTAGTGCCAGCAGTTACCCATGCTAAGGCTGAACTGCGGTCTTCAGCCATCAACAACCCGGTTGGAAATGCATCATCTTCTCACACTGTTAAGCAAATTTCTATTGGATTGTGATGTAACCTCTGAATTGGGCAAATAGTTCAGAAGGGGTGTGATGGTATGAAAAGGATGCAAGATGGTTTACCTTCATTTCATAACTGAAGCGGAAGAGAAATCAGTGGTTGGTTTCCTTCAATTAAGAAACATTAGCAATTTCAATCCATTTTCAGAATGGCTCTATTTATGCAGATTCAAATATACTAGATTTTATTAAATTTTTTGAGTTGAGAATCATAAACACAGTTGTCATTGTTTTTCTTTTAGCGAGGCTTCTAAAAAAATTCTGCCTCTCCATAGTAATCAAGCTGCTTCTGCTTCCCCACCAATCACTCACTTTGCAGTTTGAATTTCAAAGAAGTGTGAAATATTTCCTTTAAGCAGGTAGGAGGTAAACTGGAAACTACACAGCATTTTTAAGCTATGCATCCAGAAGAGGTAGTTTAAAATCTTGACCAGGGTCAAAGGAGTGAGAAATTATTTCTGATTTTTGTAGTTTAAAGATGGAAAGGAATTATAACTTACTCATTCTAAAAGCATAGAATTGCTTTATGAATTAATGTCAGACTTGTATTTACAATTTACTGCTGTGACTTTGAAAACAAGCATCCTCACAACATACAAAGCAGTGGCTGTTAAATTCCTATTAAACGTAATGGCCACTAATGAGTCTGCCCTAATACTAACCCTTCAGCCCATTGAAATCAGGAGCATCTTGATACCAGTATGGAAGAGCAGTATAATTATAGTATATAAATAATTATGTATAAAGTATATAAAGTTAGACTCAAATAATCCTGGGAAAGGGAAAAGGCCGTGCTGCTCTCAATACTTCTCATCAGTAAGTGTAAGTGATGTGCAATTTCATTTATGTATTTGATTTGTATTCAGCCCAGGCTGAGATTGCCATTTCTGAAACTGCCTGATCCTTTTGAATTCCCTGGAGGGAATGCTTTTAGAAAAGACAGCAATCTTGCACAGTGCTCTTGCTGACGACAAAATCCAGGGCTTCTTGCCCTGGCACATAAGAATGTGTATGTACTGCAGAGAAGAGGGCTCTTTTAAAGACCTCCTGGCAGACCTCAGCTATTATGTGCTGAAGACTGTTACCCAAGGACTAAGACTAATCTAAGTTGCAGCAGAGGAGAACTGGCTTAAGTGGTCAAAACTCCAGTACTTGGTCTTGTTAGAATTCTACCCACTATGAAAGATGGTGTGCTGGTTTAAATGTTTCCTGGAGCTCTCATCCCTGTGGTTTTGGGTACACTGTTCTGCTCAGGGAGAGTCCAAACACTTTAGCTTGTTACGGTAATAAAAGGTGGCTGTGAAACAGCTGTGGGGTACCCATGGCAAAAGACAGGTAACAATCCTCTTACAAGTACTGGGAATAAATGCACAGTATTCACTGGTTTTGGAACATCTGTCAAGAGTGCAGTGTCCAGCACAATTCCCATATAGGGAATTACTCTTCCCAAAGAGTTGTTTCTTTCTGCATTTTTGTCAGGCATTCAATCATTTGTGGTTAAGTTGAGCTTCATCAGGTGATCCAACAGTTCAAACAAGTGTATTCTCAACATCAACTTCTTTATGAGGGGAAAGATGGAGGTATAAAGGCTTGAGGTAAGTTGTAAAATTTTTAAGCCGTGGCTAAAGTGACTTTAGATCACTTGGTGTGGGCTTCTGTGAATGTAAAAATAAGCAGAGAGGAGGTGATTAGGTCCATACAATGAAAAATAAACTTAGACAAACAGGAATGTGATAAAGAAGTGTGTAAGTGAAGGTATAAAGAAACTTAGACTGAAGACAGAATGGTGATTATTATATAGAGCATAGCAAAAAACCAAAGGAACACACAGGAAAAAAAAGTCAAGTGGAAAAGTGTTGAGAGGTTTTCTGAAGGTAACACCTGACTTCTTTTTTTCCAAGCTCTGATTCCATGATCCTTCACTTTTTTATTTTTTAGTTTCTCACTAAATAGTCACATGAAAAAAATTACAGCAACTAATCAGAAAACATGGAATGTCAAGATTTTTGTATGAAGAAAGGGAATATAGGGGCAGTATCCAGAAAGATTTCTAGAACACTGAAGAAGAAATAGGATGGAGAGTCTGAAGATGTTTTTTGAATATTTAGCTCTGACAGTCAAGTGTTAATAATTTAGAAATATAGAAACAGGAAGCAAAGGACCTTGTTGTCTGTCTATGGTTTGTAAAGGACCACCTGTGAATGAGATAATTTTTTGAATATCCAGTTCTGAATATCTGACAATACTTTCTTCTGCCTTTAGACAATGATATTAGCAGAATAATAACTCATGTTGTCTTTCCTTGGATGCTTTAAAAAATTATATATAAAAAATTTCCTACAAATAGAAAATACTTGCTACAGACACAAATAAGAAAGTATTAAGAAAACTTTGTAAGGAACCTAATTTTATGATGATGAATGTTCTGCAGTTTGGCTGTCATGATATGTGCTCCTACTTAGCAATAGGAGAGGGATGTATAACTAAATATCTCATCAGAACGATGAAGATAATGTTTAAAGATGCACATTCATTTTCCCCAGCCCTTTTTCTTTTTCTCCTGACATTCAGCTTGAATTTCTCACTGCAAAGGATGATGCCTAGTGTGTGACTTATTTTGTGCTAGTTATTTTTCACTGATATTAGTGTGGCCGTATTCCCTTGCCTCCATCCAAAAGGAAAAGTGGAAGATCTTATGCCACTGTACGCCCTTGCATTGGAAAATAGGTGTTCCAATGCTTGGTTTTTGCCATGCATTTACTCAAACCAGAGTAGTTCAGTAAACTTCAGAAGTAATACTTTAAGCAAGCTTAAACCAGTTACGACCACTATTATAACTGCTATTCTTAAAGCTAAGGACTGATGAACTGTTGATGAAGAACTAAAAACCAGTGGCTAAAGCGTTTAGAATGAAATGTTTTGTTGTTTCTGCATTCTGTAGCTGTTTCTGTAAACCTAGAATTTAATCTCAAGTGTAGGTTTGTTCTAATGGTATGTACATTTGGAAATGTTGAGTATTTCAGGAGAAATTTTATTCCTAGAAGATCTTGAATTGCAGCCATTTTAAGAAAATATTTTTTTTTCAAAGTTGAATGAAATTCTAAATATATCCCATTCTAAGCTTTAACCCTTTTTTACAAGTCTTCTCTTAAAATAAAGGATCAGAATTTGGAAAAAACCCCAACATCTTAAATTAATCTAAACTAATCTAACAGAGTACTCTGTGTGTGTCTGTCTTTACATGACAATGTAAGTCTAATAAATCCAACTATAAATATCGATTTATTTTGTAATG